CATCCGAAACGGCAGTGGACAAAAAGATAAGTATAAACTGGCCAAATCCCGAATGGCAACACAAAAATAAAATAAAGGCAGTGGACAAAAAGATAAGTTATATTCATCGGCTCTACCGGCCGGGAGATACAGTGACCTTGAGTCTGAGCAAAAAAGTTACAAGGAAAAAAAGGGAAACTAATCTATTGACCAATGGGCTCTTCATCATCCTCATCTTCTGATGACGAGGATGACTCAGGCTCCCTGCCAGCTTCCCGATCGGCAGCACGTCTCATCTCTCGCTCGTACTGCTCAAATTGAGCTTTGACAATGTCAACTTGTGGAAGATCGAAAGTCTGGACTGATCTTCCAAGTCGATGCTGCAGCTGGGCCACAAAAGGCCGTAAAATATGCTGACAACCCTTAACATAGAGATCCCCAACCAAGGAATCATTCCATCGCTTGCCCTGAGGGTCCTTGTCAAGGAGTTTCACTCCAGCCCTACGCCGTTCAACGCCCTTGGGAAACTGCCTTAGATAAGCCCCGAAGACGGTTGGGAGTTGCTGTTTGGCGTACTCCTCCTTAATGGCAGAGAATTCATCAGAAGATTTGAAAACCTCCCGAACGGCGGATAGATCCACCTTCACCTCAGCGGGATCGTCCGGGATGCACGGGGCCGTCTCTTCAAACTTAACCTGAGCGACCTCAGCAGCAAAGACTTTAGCTTGGAAAGCGGCCAACTGAACCCGAAGCTCGCCCAGCTCACCTTCTAACCTCTGTTTTTGCTCTCCAAAAGCCCTCCGTTCAGCCTCAACGGCAGTGGTGGCAGCAGCGACAGCCTGCTCAGCAGAGGTTTGAGCTATGATCAGATCCTGTCCCTTGGCCATGCGGGCCTCCCTCAGCTGCAAGCTGTACAGCCCCATCTACATGATCCCGTTCGGAGATAGGAGATGAGATACTGAATGAATGATAACATATGAGGTAAGATACAGGGAAAAGAAAGTACCTTCAAAGCCATTAAAGCCACACATTCTTCTGTCCGATCGACCGGCAGAGTGGGGAGCGAAAAATTATTAAAATAAGCAGAGGTAGACCAAACTTGGCTCGCGACAGAGCCAACCTTTTCCAGGATCTCATGAACAAGATCCTCCAGAGTGATCCGTTCGACCTGCCCTGCAAGGTTGGCGGACTTAACCTGACTAGCCTCCGGGGTCGCTTCCTGAGCGGCCTGGACATGCTCAGAAAAGTGGTACAATTGATCAGACCCGAACAGGTTGTCCATCATCATATCATGAGGTTCCTGATGATGAAAAACCTGTTGAAGAGGCGCAACCGCCTGAATGGGCTGAGAGGACACGGCGTCTTGAGAAGTGGTAGTGGAAGGATTGGCCTTGGGATTCTTCTTGGCCTTCTTCCTCTTGCCCACTCCGCCGGCAACGAGGACTCGACTGTTATCCATAGGAGTGTCTGGATTGGGGGCTGAAAAAATAACAAAGGAAAAGGTTAGTACTGAGCGGTCTTATCACGTGGGAAACAAAGAGGAACGGAACGTTTCTCGCACGGGAGGGACCGCCCAGCCCATGGCACTTGGTTTTCAGTCAAGTAGACCCAGGAATACGGGCAGTACCTATCCCGGCCTTGACAAGCCGATCGGAAGTCAGGTATTTCATGATGTTGCATTTTTTGTCCCGCTCCACCGCGAAGACATCTTTGCTAACTTCCTCGGTAAGCAACGATTCTGGAGTTTTGTGGGGGAAAACATTCCATTTCTTCGGGATTAAACCGTCTGGGACGGAAAAAAAGAAAAACTGATCCTTCCACCCCTTAATGGAAGTCAGGTTATCGGTAAATAGTATGTGTCTCGTACGAGCATTGGCAGCCAAAAACTCGTGTGTTTGTTGAGGGGGCACTTTAAAAAATTGATGGAATAACTCCAGGCGGGGCGTGACTTTGACGTCCACGCAGCGGCAGATGAAGTCGGCCATCACTCGGTAGGAATTTGGCATGACTTGGGCTGGTACTATCTCGTAGAAATTAAAAAAGGATACACAAAGAACGGATGTAATGGAAACCTAAGCCCATCTTTCACTGAGTCTAAATGGACTGTCACCATCCCAGGAAGGTGACGCATTGGGTGAAGCCCGGCCCGAAGACGGAAGTCCACTGGGTCCGGGATTAGGGCTGGGATTTGGACCCTATTGTGAGAGGTTAGTTTCTGCCGCCTCTCTTTGATCAAATTTAGGTCGAGCTTGTAGCGAGGGACATCGTTCGGGGGGGGGGGGGGGGGGGGTAGCCGCCATGGAAGCAATCTCGTCGTCAGATTTTGTGTCGACTGATTCACTGCTGGAAGAAGAGGAGCCATCAGAAGAATCCCCCGCCGCCGCACTAGCACTCGTCGTCGCTTCATTGGCTGCATCAGCAAAAGGAACGGCTATGACATTCACGGCGGCATCATCATGAACGTCCCCTTGGGAGGCCAATTCCGAAACAGGGGAGCACGGTCGAGAAGACATAATGACCAAAACCGAGAGGAGGAAGAACGAGAAAGGGGCGGAAAGTACCTGAACACACGAAAAGCTTGGGAGTCCTAGAAAGAAGGCAGAGCTAAAGCACGAAGGAAATGAGAATTTGAAACCCGTAGCCAAGGAACTCAAGGCCTATTTATAGCCTGACAGGCACCGATTCACAAACCAATCAGAGTAAGACACGTCTCCAGGAGCGTTTGAGAAAACATGTGTCACTCGGAGAAACAAAGCCCAGTAATCATAACGATTATGGGGAAAATCAAACGACAGCCGCTAGTGGACCGTAAAATCAGGAAATCGGGAACCGGCAAGATCCTATACACGATTGCCAAACGGCATACAACCAAATTATTCTACTTCCTTATGCCCTCACTATCGTTTGGGACATCAAAAGTGGCGGACTCGTGTTGGGATATTGGGCTGAAAGCCCAATATACCAGGCCCATTAGTCAACAAGGATCCAAAGAAGAATAGGCCCAATAACTAGTTATACCGAACGGGATCCAAGGAACCATGAAGGATTATACCCCGAACGGGGATGGGATCATGCAGGTAACTTGGGCCAGATTAATAATGATAGCAACATGGGCATCGTTCTGAAGCCCGAACGGGTAGCCTGCAAGTGGCAAGGGGCATTTAATGCTAGGGTATGACGTCAGCAAGTGGAAGTATGGGCATCCAAGTGGCTCGAGAACGACAGCAAGTCAAATTCTGCCACGTCATCACCCCCATCTCCTTTTGTATCTAATCTCATTGTAAAGGGTAAGCATTTTAAGACTCAAGACCTAGAATAGCTTTATCATTCTTGTTATTGTATTATCACTATTCCGACGTGCCGTTCAGGTAGTCTCCTGTGTAATCAGTGAATTGCTTAATACAAATGGGCTTTTGAGTATATTGTTATTCAGCTTTTATATTTTCTTAGACCCTAGACTTATTTTTCATATCCTTAATATCCAAAACGTGTGTTGGGCTTTCAGATCTGCGAGACACCTCAACACCACTTATAGCCGTTGGAGTGGAACGTAAAGTATTTATTATTTAAATTCGATTGAAGTATTGAACTAAACCTAATAAATGGATCAATTCCAATACAATGTATACATATTTACTTTCAGTATAATAATCTAAAAAACGATTAATATGGACCGGGACCAGCCAGTCAACCGAAACCAGCCCGGGACCAGAAAAAACTGTGTCGTCTCAATTCACCCCACCCGCACCCTAAAACCGTCGAATTCGGGGCCAAAATGGCCCAGAACCAAACCGGGTCCACCCATACCTAAAAGTAGAGAACCTACTAAATGGGCTAAGTGGGGATATGCGTGGACTCGGGCCGGGTCGGGCCCGGGCCGCCGGTTTGTATGACATGGGCCTGGGACCGGCCCGAGGGTTGGACGGGTCCGGTTCGGGCCGGGCCACCCGCCCGGGTCACGGGTCGGGTCCGGTTCGGGCCGGGCCGATTAAAGTTTTTTTTTATATAATTTAGAGTTTATAGTTTTATACGAGTATTAAAAACAAACTTCAAGTGCATTTATTTGAAATGAAATAGGAACTACATTTGAAAATTAAAACAAACTTTAAGAGACAAACATTTTGAAAATTGTAATCAATCGGAACTTCCCGCACCTCCCGATCCTTTGGCTTTGTCACATGACTTCATATGCTTGATTGTCATCTTGTATCCGACTGAAACCCCCATGCTACATTTTTTCTCGCACCATTTGCAAGTTGCGTACCACATCCCGGTCTTCGGGCCCTTCTGCTTATCAAAATTATACCGTATAATGGCATCTTGATTTTCCATCTTAACTTCTTAAGTATAAACTATAAAGTAGATATATAAATAATAAATATAATATATTGGAGAATAAGAGAATTAGAGAGTAGAGAGTTAAGAATAGGATTTAGGAAGAATTGGAGAAGAGAGATGAAAAAATGTTTAAGATTAGGAGTAATTATAGGTTTTTTTACCCCCACCCCCCACCACCACCCAACCCCCCCGGACCCCCCCAAGACCCACCCAACGGCTATGTAGCCGTTTGGGTTGTCCCCAGCCCACCCATAACGGCTAGTAGCCATTTAAAAAAAAATTAAAATATGACCGTAGGACCCGGACCCGGGCCCGACCCGGCCGGGCCGGGTCGCATTTTTCCGGAACCGTGCCCGCCCCGCCCATTCCCACCGGTTCGGGTCTACACCCGGTCCCGGACCGCCCGACCGGGCCGGTCCCGGGCCCGCACGGTACCGAGCCGGGCCGGGTCACGGGCTGGGTGGCCCGAACCGAATCCACCCCTAAGTGGGGATGCTTATATTTTCATGTGTGGGCAAAAGACCCAATCGGTCTTACTTAAATGTTAAATCAAACCTATTCCAATTCCTACGGACCAGGACCGGACAGATCCTGATATGTTTAAATAGACTAAGAAAGCAGAATCACATCCGAGGATAGCCCATTACAGTTCCTGTTCCGCCAATCACAAGAGCTAGATGACAGTACGGGATCAAGTCACCCTAGTCATTCTTAGAAGGCATGTATACATAAATGAAGTGTTTTGCTGAATGAAACAGAGTTCAAAGATACAGCGCCGTAAATAACAGCTAACTAATTTGCTGCATTTGAATGTTTTATAACAACAAGATCTCAAGAACCTAATAGTAAAATGTGTACTTAAGATAAAGATCAGGCATAAAAAGTCGATTCAATGATATAACAACATCAAGTAAAAACTTTTTGGTATTGCAAACATTTTACCAGGTTGGTCTTCGCTCCAGTTGACCTGCTCCCATTCTCACGAAAACTGTATCGGGTCGGGCTGAGGCAGTGCAACACCCGAACTAAACTTCAGCATCTTTGAAGGCCTCTCTCCAGTTGGGGAGTTGAACGGAGAGTCCTCGTGGCCACCAGAATCTGGGGTTAGAGGTTCATGATGAGAGGATGACAATTCATCAAGACACAAGCTATTTGGTCGTGGTCGCTCCTTTGCAAGCTTGTTGTTGTCACCACATGGAGGCTCGGATGTTGGTGCGGGAGTAGATGGGTCAGGTACGGTATTAGATTCTGGTGTTTCAGAGAGTACCCCGCTGAGCCGTTGTTGCTCTTCTATTATCTTCTTCAAATACTTGCCTTGAGCCTCTATCCTTAGTTGCAGCTGGCGTTGGACCTGTTTTAGCCATAAGAGAACAGTAAAGTTGAACACCATAATGCCTTTTCCCACAAAAACTAATAACAATAAGTTCCCAAAAGGAAACCATAAGGGTATGTTTAGACTTTAGAATGCGGGAAATGGTAGGGGAAGGATAACAAAATTGTCAAGGAATATAATTTTTAAATGGTTTTACCTTGGGAAGTGTAAAAAATGTTAAATTAATTAAATATTTTTAGGATTTTTTTGTATACATTTAGTGTATACATTAGAAACATATATAAAAAGTTTGAACATAAATACACAAAATACATCTGTTGAGTTAAAGCATATCTTTTTAGTAAAGTTCATCATCAACATCGACACTAGAAAAAGTTCAACTATGCTTGGGACTGGTAGCATTAAAGTGAATGTTCACTAATTATCAAAAATTACTCAACAATGTAAACTTGTGCAAAAAAATCATAGAAAAGGAAAGAAGGCAGCCTCGTGCACATATGTGTCCCCACAAGGGTGTATAAGGAGACGAAACAGAATTAAGACGCCTAATCAATATAGTAACAATGTTAGGAACTCAACAAACGCAGCAGAAAATTAGTAGTATATTGATTAGGAAGTCTGATGAAATATCAAAATTATTAGAACGACAATGGCGGAAAAATAAAGAAAGAGACGTAACAGAGTTGAGACACTTCGAGAGGTCTCTCTCTCCCAACCCAATTCTGATAGGGGCCCGGACACTACTACTAATAAGAGTCTTGTTAAGTATTTTAATATTGTACAATAAGAGCGGCATGCCCGTTAGGAGATTAATATAATAAGAGCGGGTAGGGAAAAAAGGAAGGCAGTCAGAATTTGGGATTAGGCTGGGATCTGGGAGAAAGACTGCTCGAAGTGTCTCATTTGTATTTTCTTTCCATCATCGTGCTTTGTGCGCCATTTTCTTTCGTTCTGCCATTGTAATAGCTAAGGATTCTGAAAACTTCTCTGAATTCCAGATTTAATACATAAATTGTCCGGTTCTCTATCAAATTCCAACTGAATTTCTGCCTACCTCTTATTCTTCACTCTCCTGCTATTTATACTACTCTTTAATATTATTATGAATAGCCTATTCTGCCCAGGTCCCTATCATACGGCACCATTGACATTCAAGATAACGCAAGACACTAAGTCAGATCTTTCAGTAGTACGCATATATGATATATCATTAAAAGTTGATATGTGAATGACAACAAACCTCAAGTTGCTCGTGTAGTCGCTTTTGCACTTCCATCTGCAGCTTTAGTGCTTCAGTAATTTGCATTCCACTGTTAACAGGAGGAGATTATATTGTCATTAAATAAAGTAATAATATCAAGTAAAAACAGGGGAGGATCTAAGATTAGGGAAATAAAATCTACTCACGATGACCCGTCTAAATTAGAGAGCACATCCTTTGGCTCTTTTTTGTCAGCTCTTTTCCCTGTTGAATAAAATTTACAATAAAAAATAATTTTAAACGAGAATCAAAAGCACATATTGTAGTTTATTTATAAGAAGAAGCCTACCATCAGAAGAGGATTCAGGAAGGTATTTGGCAAGTCGGTATTTCTGGATGCACCAAACATATAGAAATAAATAATGTTATGACAGCATAAAAGGCTCCTTGAGGGTCCATTTGGAATATGATAGGGAAAAACAATAGGGAGGAAAACAGAGGGGAAATCTGGAAGAATATAGAATTGTGGAATGACACATAAAAACTCATTTAATCAATTTTAGATTATAATTCAAACTCACTTTACATATATGTATATTTCTATAATAAAAAGACTGAAACATAATTATATGTAAACTTTTGAAATTTTATAATCAGATTTGATGTTCATTTGTATTTTCCAAAAGGTAAAACAAAACATAGAAACTATTTTTGTTAGTACTTTCCTCCTTTCCCTGCCATTTCCTGTGTTCCAAACATTGCCTAAAAGAAACATGTAAATCGTAAATTGCAGAAACCAGAGTTATCAGCTGTATACCTGTAAATGGCTCTTTACATGGTAAATTGTCAGCCCTTGCACGCCCATGACTCTGAGGACACCTTTAGGAGTAGCCCCTGAACCATTAAACACAATCTTCCAATAATTTAAACAGAGTATACAGTATCAATAACCCGTTCATGAAGCTCATTTGTCCAATGCAGGGATGGAGGAAGTAGTATAATAGCATCAAGAAGACAGTTTGAGGGGATATATATATAAGTAAACAAGAAACTCACTATCTGGTCCACCAAGTTGTGCCACAGCATCAACAAACCGTTCATGAAGTTCATTTGTCCAACGCAGACGTTGTTTTGAAGCCAGACTCGGGTTGTTGTTGTGGGTATTCCCCCCGCTACCTGGATCCATTGTGTTCGGACAAGAATCTAAAGTCTGAACATTAATAGTGTTGCTGTGTACCATGTTTGAACTAGAAACACCGTTTGGTGAATACATTGCATTACTCTGCAGAACATAGTGAAATAAGCAAGGAAGACATTATAACACAGCTAACATGAAAAACTCACCAGACAAATAACTACTAATAACTATAGGGTTAAAGTATAAAAAGTAGGAGAGAAGAATGAAAAAAGTAGAGAAAGTAAGCGTCTTTATGTGATGAAAAGACTTGCCAAAATAAGAAAGTGTTACATGTAATAAAATATCTCTGGAAAAGGAATATATTGCAAGCAAATAAATACGTAGTGATATTTGGTTTAGCATTTTAATTGATTTTATATGGTTAAATGTGCAATTTTATTTTAAATTTTATTTTTAAAAAATTATTTGCACATGAAACTGAATAAAACAAAAGTGCAAAATTTGACCAAATATTTTTGCATGGCATAACAATATAGCATTGTAGTATAACATAAGTACAGAACATAGTACTCATTGAGGTTTATTTCTTCATATGTTAACATCTAGATCTTGCTAAATCTGCAATAATGGCTTATAGCTTTAGCAAAAAACAATACATCTACAGAGTGTTAAAACCCGAGTTGGGCAAGATTTTAACGCTGGGTGATTTATGACCTTTTACCCACACCAGCTATAATTACATATTTATATACTATGGAGTAAAATAACTTAAACTACAAAAGTACATAACAAGAAATTGATTCTAGCCTTGAGACGCTCACTTTCCAGTTTTCCATAATAGTCTCTTGTTCTCTAACCTCCACAAAATAACCTCAAATTTTCTGCCCAGATCAAACAATCAGTACTCACACGCCTCTAAAAGTCTCCATTCTCCACGTTGAGTGTTCGTGTAAAAAACAATCTTCACTTTTTTTATCAACCTTTATCGAATGCTTTCTATTACAAACCTTGCTAAAAGACACAGTTTATATCATTTCCCCTGGCCTATTTTAAAGCAACTGATCGGGAGATATTGCAGTGTTGTGATTCATGTTTTAATAAGAACCACATACTATGATATGTATCGTATCTCGATGAATATGATTATTCTTTTGTGTATAATCTGCAAATACTTGAAGCACACATCTATTTATAACTTTATCCAATTATCCCATATTCCCATGTGATTTCACCCCATGTAGGACATTATCTTTAAGCATGAAAAAAAATTACAATCTAAAAACTTGCTTTGACTTCATTGTGTCTTAAAATATCTTAAATTAAACTCAATTTTCTTTGTTTCAACTTAGCATTAACCAATAACCAATGCTATGACTCCATTCGTAAAATCAGCTGCTGCCTGTAAGTGCTGAAGGGTTTTAACTAGTGAATCCAAGTAAAGCATAAACTTTACACAGATTCATACCATCATCTGACAAATTTTACTTGGAACTCCTAGTCCCAGACAAGTTTCTACATCAACTAGACAAGCTGGCATAAAGGCCCTTCAAAGTTATTGCTTGAGCTTAGAGAAAAAGAGACCCGCCATTAACGGAAATGTCATTTAATTGGTAGTAAATAACTATGTTCTTGGCTGGAGTTGTGTACAGCAGCTTTAACAGATGCTATAATTTCACTTTTTATCCTTCAAGCATACAAAACACAACAAGCACACTAGTGAGAACTGTGGAGTAATGGGTTACACTTGTTATTAAAAGTAGTGATAATGGTTTAGCATAACACATTTGTTTTTTTAGCACTAAAATAACTGAGTAATAATAAGGAACCTCTTTTGTTGGAATGTTGGAATTTATATTAATATAACCATGTGTCAACCTCCGGTGCTTGGGGCAGTATTTTTTCATTGAAGGCCCTCTACAGATGCCATAAAACCGAGCTCTCAATGACTTATGTAAAAGTAAAAGTCAAATTAACATGTTAATGTATATACTTACACTGTGAAACCGTGAATCAATGTATTACAGTGTGTATATACACAATATAACACGGCTTTGTCAAGACAGTTTTATTCATAGCTCTAGTATTCATAACAATTTTATGGCATGAATGATTGACAAAATTAGTATTCATAACTACTGCTGTTTTTATGAAGTTACATTAATACGACCAAATGTAATTTTAATCGACTCAAGTTCTGATATAAGGGTGGCAGTAAATTTAATAAACACAAATTGGTCATAGCCAGATTTAAAAGTGTACTGATCAAGCTTAAATCAATAACTAGTATTCATTGAATTGTTTGTTTATATCGCTTTTTGGGTTTTAGGGCCGGTCTTGTATGTCTGAAGGCCTAGGGAAGGATAATTTAATAATAACAGACATGTATCTAACAAACTTTTCCATTGAACCTTTTTTAATTTTTACTTATGCCCACTTTCTCTAATCTTCTCATCCTTTTTCTTTCTCCTCTTTTGGGATTAAGGCTTGGATGTTGTTGTTGTTGTATCCAGATTCAATCGTTTTTATTACACCTTGAAATTAATTACATTTATAAATTTTATTATAATTGAAATTTTTACCTAACAATTAAGAATATGAACTAAACATTTATTAACACTTAACAGCCAACAAATCCACTAATTACTTATCAACTATTCATTTATAAACATTAAACAACTATGAATGGAATCAATTAATAAACTAATCAAACAATCATATTAATCAATAAAATAAAAAGCCTAAAACTCTAAAACAGTTAAGCCATTGACTCATTAAGGAATGAGGAAGGAGGCCGGAGGAATACCTGAAGACTAAACTGCTGAAACGGTGAGGTCGTGAGGCAGTGAATCCTGAAAGTGAGCACGGCGCACCTGCTGGACGCCTCGACTGAGAAGCCGATAAGGGGAAGGGCGGCAGCCGGAAGGGGGCCAAGCGTCGGCGGATGGCGGCTGGCGGTCCGCGGTCAGCGACTAGGCCCTTGGCGTTCGTCGATGTCGATCCGATTGCGATTGGCTGCTGAGCTGCTCCTCCAGTCCTCCTTTGTTCGGCTAATCAGCTGTAGTGCAAGATGGTAGTCTCAGTTTCCTTTATGTTTTTATTACTAGCTCATATCAGTCCCACCCACATCAAAGATTCAAACCCACCCGACTTGGACTAACATAATTTGAAAGTCAAAAATGCTATAGGTACCCCAAACTTACCCCAATTCCTACCCCATATAAATACCCATGTTTTTACCATCCCTTTTACCCCCTTTCTAAAAATAACTTTCTCTCACATCTCCCAAACCCTCCACCCACTCTTATTGTTTCCGCCAAAACACACTCCAACCTTCGACGAACTACTACAGTGCTCGACGGAGGGTCTTACCTGCGTCTTTACATCATCTTCTTGGATGGATGTGATGGGGAAGCATTTATCCGACTTTAGTGATGAGTTTTGTTTGGATGGGTTGACATGGGGAGATGAAGGTGAGAAGCTTGTTGAGGTGGGTGACGGTGGTAATCCACCATCTCCGAAGGCTGTTGAAGTAGAAGCGACTTCAAGGGAAGAAGATGATGAAGATGTGGAAGTCTTGGACAAGAGTAAGTTTATTTTCCGTCATTTTTGTATTTTGTCTGGCGGACAGACAATTTGTCAGTGCAGTGTCTGGCAAGCCTAACGTAAACGCGGTCTCATAGTTGTTTGAAGTGAACGTGGTTTTATAGTTGTTAGAGTGTTATATAAAGGTGTTTTTTTTAAACATGGTTTGGCGGGCATACTATATGTATGTATTTATTACAATTATTGTTTGTTTGTAGAGACAAAATGATAAATGTAGTGAACATGTATATTTTTCTGAAATAACAGATGAAGAGGAAGAACATATTTGTATTGAAGTCCCCGTTGTTGGTATGGAATTCCCCAGTAAAGATGCAGTGTATGATTTCTACAAGGAGTATGGGAGAAGAGTAGGGTTTCCTGTTAGAATAAGGAATTCTAGGAAAGATGGGGATGGAACGACATCTGCAATTGCATTAGAGTGTGGGTGCGCTGGAAAAAGGCAAAGCCGTGCACAAAATGTTTTGAAGCCTCTACCTTCGATGCAAGTTGGTTGCTTGGCCAAAATAAGAGCACGTATAAATTATGCTGGGGGTTGGGTGATTTCAACGGCTTGTTTAGATCATAACCATCCTATGAGTCCTACGAAGTCTAGACTATTTCGGTGTAATAGGAGGTTGACACGGAAAGCTATGAGGCAAATTGCAATCAATGATGTCGCCGGTATACCACTTCATAAGAGTTTCAACTCTGTGGTTGTTGAAGCCGGCGGATATGATCAACTTTCCTTCACTGAAAAGGATTGTAGGAACTATATAGATAAAGTGCGTAAACTTAGGTTGGGAAGTGGTGATGCGGTGGCATTACAGGATTTTTTTTGTAGAATGCAAGCTCAATGCCCTGGGTTCTTCTTTATGCTTGATTTGGATGAAGAGTCACGCTTACGCAATGTTTTTTGGGCGGATAATCGATGTCGATATGCTTACAAAGATTTTGGGGATGTCATTACATTTGACACAACATATCTTACCAATCGATATGACATGCCGTTTGCGCCATTTGTAGGCGTCAATCACCATGGTCAGTCAATATTGCTTGGTTGTGGCCTAATCTCGAGTGAAGATACTCATACGTTTGTGTGGATTTTTAAAGCTTGGCTTCAGTGTATGGACGGGTGTGCCCCGAAGGGAATTATTACTGACCAAGATCGAGCTATGCAAAACGTCATCCAAATAGTATTTCCGAATACGCGACACCGATGGTGTTTATGGCACATCATGAAGAAGCTACCGGAAAAGTTGGGAGGGTTTACCCATAAAGATAAAATTATGGATGGTATACATGATGCAGTATATGACTCCCAATTCCCTGCTGAGTTTGAAATTGGTTGGAAATCTCATTTGGAAAGGTGGTACACATTACCAAACAAATTAACTCATCTCTGTCTTAAAGCCAGTCAAATTATGTCTGGGCCAGACATTTGTAGTCTGGGACAATTAACTAATCTCTATCTTACAGCCAGACAAATTATGTCTGGGCCAGACATTTGTAGTCTGGGACAATTAACTAATCTCTATCTTACAGCCAGACAAATTATGTCTGGGTCAGACATTAGTAGTCTGGGACAATTAACTAATCTCTATCTTACAGCCAGACAAATTATGTCTGGGCCAGACATTAGTAGTCTGGGACAATGAACTCATCTCTGTCTTACAGCCAGACAAATTATGTCTGGGCCAGACATTAGTAGTCTGGGACAATGAACTCATCTCTGTCTTACAGCCAGACAAATTATGTCTGGGCCAGACATTAGTTGTCTGGGACAATTAACTCATATTGTGTATTAATCGTAGGTATTCACTTCAAGATGAAGAATGGCTTAGGGTCATGTACGATGAACGCCATAGGTGGGTTCCTTGTTACTTGAAACCTACATTCTGGGCGGGTATGTCAACAACTCAACGAAGTGAGAGCATGAACGCCTTCTTCGATAATTTTGTGCACTCGAAAACAAGTTTGAAACAATTTGTAGAGCAATATGATCGTGCCTTAAAATGTAAGGCTGAAAAAGAGTTTCAAGCGGACGCTAATTCATTTACAAAATTGATACCATGTGTGACTTCTTTTGCAATGGAAAAACAAATGCAAGGATTATACACACTAGCGAAGTTCAAGGAGTTTCAAGAAGAAGTGGTTGGCAAGCTTTATTGTGCCATTCAATGCGATGAAGGTAAAGTGTATCATGTCAAAGAAGAAAAGAAAATTACGGACGACTTTTACAAGAATGTTTATTTCATAGTGGAATTTGACTCCAGCTCTTGCACATGCAAATGTACTTGCCATTTGTTTGAATTTAGAGGCACAGTGTGTAGGCATATGTTTATGGTTCTACAACGCAATGATGTCAAAATGTTGTCCGAGGTGTACATATTGCCGAGATGGAGACAAGATTTAAAACGCCCTTACACACGAGTAAAAATTAACTATGAAGGGTGGATCACAACCGTAGAACAACAACGGTATGACATGTTGTGTAAGACTTTTGAATCTCTTGCAAATGCCATTGCCGATGATGAGGAGAAGTATAAGAGCGTTATGCAATGGATGCAATACCAATTGCATGAATGTACAGTTCCATCTACAAATTATTCTGTTTGTGGTGTGATGACACAATTTCCCCAAATGCATCCAAATTTAAATGCCACTGCACCGGGTCCAATTGAAGACCCGAAGATCACAAAGAGGAAAGGTGCACCAAGGAAAAACCGCATAAAGGGTCCTCTAGAAAAGTCAAAGAAGAAACAAAAGGTTTCGTACATTTAAGTACCCAATTTATTAAAAATTTCATTATTTTTTACTACAATGTTTTTTTTGCAGGCGGTTGCAAAACCAAAAAATCCTAGGAAAGAGCCATGTGGAGTGCAAACAAGTGAAGCCTCTCAAGAAATTTATGATTTGACTGTAGAAACGCCCTATATGAATGAAAAAGAGTTGGATTTGAACCTTCGATTACTTTGAATTACCATTGTTGACTGTCATCACCTTCTATCCAATCTTTAAGTTCATTCCATTCCTCATCTGTTTCAGCAATGAAGATTGGGTGGATTTCAAGACTGGGTTCAATAATGTGTTTTGCCCGCTTTGAAGCTCTTGGTTCGGTATAAGGGCTGACCCTATACTTCGAAGGGTATCTTGGCCTTCTCAAGGGGCATGTTTCATCACAAGGGGCATGATTAGTGAGCTCAGCAGCAGCCACCTTATAAAACAGTCAAATGATTGAGATTGTGAAGATGTTTGTAGACAGACAATTCAATACAATGAGACCGACATTTTAACTTACATCAAGAAGAGCCGGTGAGATGATCGGATTGGAAGCTGTAGTAGGATCAAACTCCCTCTCATCCTTTGAATTATCCACAACATCAGCCAGCTACATAAAATCAGCCACATCCAAAAGTGTTTTAAAATGTCTGGAGACAGATAATTAGATTGAACTAGACAGACATATTGACTTACTTCATTGAGGATGGTTGAGATGATCTCAACCGAAGGTGTAGTGACATCAGACTCCTTCACATTGTTTGCATCATCTACAACGGCCGTTGGGCCACATTCTTCAGCGTGTGTTGGGACGTCATGATCATCCATTTGCATGGCATTAGCATCAACCTCATTGCCACCAACCTGCCAAACAATAGTATTAACACTACCAGTCCGAAATAAACAATGAATAACAAATCAAATCTTCCTTACCTCAGCCGCATTGTTTGACACATCACACGGTGCACTCACCCTCTCTTCCATCAACTTCAACCTCGTTTCCAAATCTGCCACATTCTTCCGCAGAGCTTTAATCTCCTCCATGAATTTGGCCTTGAACCCCTTCCTCCCTACTTCTTCATCCTCGTTCTCTGTTTCTTCTTCATCATCCTCATCAACATCTTCCTCTGATTCTTCCTCCTACACATGAAACAGTTGAATTATATAATACGATGTTATGACAAATTTCTTAAGTTTAAGAAAATAAGATATAATACATCATCATTGTCCTTGAAAACCAATTCATTCAGCTTCCGTGCATGAAAGAATCCATCAGCCTTCCAGTTCAACATAGGGATGTCTTCATTACCAACTCGTTCAGCAAATTTCTCTCCAAGGTTAGGAACGGTCTCATACACCCAAACCTATATGTAGAAAAATTAAAATGTTTGTCTGCCCAAAATATGTACATATAAATGTCTGTATGTACATATAAATGTCTGTCTGTTTACATTACCTGTAGAATATGAGGACATCCGTATAGAGTGAACTTGGCATTTTTGGCATTGCTTTTCTTGAACCTCCCGGGCTGACCTTTCATGACAGTTTTCAGGTTTTCAACCATTATGTTGTAGGACTCTAAACCCCAGTTATACATCGTAAACTTGTCAAACTCGTCCGCCCATTTGACATAATCTAAATTTATTTTTGTTTTGTTATCTCTTGCAAGCAGAACACTCACAAGGTAACACAAGGACACTAGCTTCAGAGGGTCAGTGGAATCTCCTCTTTTAGGCTTGAATGCCTTCAGCTTTTCCTTCAGCATCT